AATCGTTTTCTACAATCTTTATTAACCTGAAGGGCTAGACAACAAACAACCCCTATGCGAACAAAGTTATAATACCCATGTGCACAAATGCGCTCGGGTGTAATTATTTCTTAAAACATTATTCTAAATGTATGTTTTGAGCAAATTGATTTCAAAAGTTAGAAATATGTCCCATTTTTCAAAAATGTATAATAATAAACATGTGACTTTTTTAGCAATTTGTTTTCTGTAATTAAGGAAATATTGAATTTTTTGAATTTTTCGAAATTACCGTTTTATGGGAGGGACCAGGTTATGGTTTAATTTTTGTATTTTCAATACGCTTCTGCCCTGCATAAAGGGAAACCCGCGTACCGAATTTTCTTCCGATATCTCAACTTTTCCTAGAGTTATCGTGTACACAAACAAACGGACAGACAGACAGACGGAGATGGACTAATCAACTTCTCTTTTTATTCTGGGCATTTACGGTATATACATACGTATGTACATAAATGTAGTATATATCTATCTCGATTTTGGTTGTTCCAAATATCCGTTACGTGAGAAAAGTTATAGTACCCTACTGCAGAAGTGCGTAGTAAATATGTTTAAATAGTACACCTTTTAATTAATAATTAATAAAAAAAATTTTACAATGTAACTCCTCAACCCCTCTTTAAAGAAAACAAGAATCCTATAAAATTTCGTTTTGAAAGTTTTCAAATTTGATAACTGAAGAAAAAAATTAATAGAAAAAAAATCATACAAATTAAATTTATATATACATATATTCTGCGAAAAAATGTCTACAATCAATTTTTAAACCCTTTTCGCAATTGGTGTACTCATGTAACCGGTAAATTTTGTTACCATCTCATAAGCTGGTAACAAAATATTGCCCCGCCCCGTGAAATATGCAATGCCAGAATTTCCACAATTCTTCATGGCTGAATTGCTGAATATATAGCATTACCAACGTTCCTAGAATCGCGGTGACATGAACAGGTAACATTTTTTGGTAATAAAATTTTCCGGTTAAAAAAACTTCGGTTACGTGCAGAATAGACCTTTTATAGTTCTAAAAGTCTATAATACGAAGGGACAGATGCCGGTAATGAAATTCTTAAGTTTTTTCAAGCAAGAGTTTTAAAAACTCAATTCTATTGACACTGTTTTATATTTCTATATACAGTTCACTAGTTTCGAATGTAATATATGTAAATGTATGTATCAAGATGTGTCCTTTGTGCTCGAGGGTTGCGATGTTTGTTTGGACTGATTTCGCACCAGTCATTAGCCATGGGTTAATGTCAGAAAACGTCTATACATACGCGTTGAAATACATACATACGTATACATATATGTTTTTTTTCAATTCCAGATATGTTTAAACTTTAAAGTATAAAATATTTCAACCCTGGGAAAAAAGTATTAGTACTGAATGGTAAAAACGTGTGCATTCATTTTAAATATACAATCATGTGTGTGTGCGAATGCTTCTGTTACATTCACAATCCATACTGAATGTCAATCTACCATTCAAAAACACAACACAGTTTATTTGTTTTCAAGCATTTTAAGCCACTCAGGAATGAGGCTTTTTTTATACAAACAAACAATCAAAATTTTGAAAAGAATGTCGAGTGAATGCAGATCCTATTGATTCAATCATTTTACAGCTCTGGTATGTACATAAACAATAAAACTTTCTCATGAATACCATAAAATCATTGGTCTTGAAGGGAATGTACCAAGGTACATTGAACAGGTAGTATCAGTAGAGCAGCTGATTTGATTTATTTTCAAATTATTTGGTCTCGAAAATGTCAAATATTTTTAATTTTTTCTCACGAAAATTATAAGTTGTTAAAATCCATTTGCTTGTGAAACCTTTTTCCATACAAAACAAGCGATTGAATAGCAGCTTTTGGAACGTTCGCCCAACTCGGCAGCACGACCGCTGATTACTGGGCCTTGCAAAGGATGGATCAATGCTTCGAGAAGCAAACAAATTTACTAGGAAAGAAAGTTGCATCAATTTTTATTTTTTCCAATTTCAATTTTTTATTTTTTATAATTTTTTGTATTTCACATGGCACGCTTTGATTTAGAAGAAAAAATTCAGAACAGTTTTTGACACTTTCGATACCAGAAGCAACAACAAAATACACGCAATTGTTGTTTTTGCTCTACTGATACTACCTGTTTAATGTGCCTTGGAATGTACTAAGAAAATATATGAGCGAATTAAAAAGTGTATACAATTTATAGACGAAAAGTACATTTTTTGTATAGATTTCGTACTGAAGGCACAATTTCATTTCCCAACACTGATACAGAATGTAAACAAACACAGGGTTGCAAGGAAAAAAAGTTGAACGAGCTCAAAG